GCAGCCTTCCTATCGGCAAGTCAGTATACGAAAAATATTCCGCAATGAAAACGCTTTGTTCAATAGTAATTAACCTGAGTTTTCTGCCTGTTATGCTGAAATCTAAAAATGTCTTCTACTAATATGACAGAGTTCATGTATAAGTATCTAAGCTTACTAGAGAAAGACAGAACCTAATTATGGCTAATATAACGATGTATATAGCGTAAATTTGTTGGGTGAAAATGAACAGGAACTTGGAAATGACATGGCGAGAAGCGATCGTGGCCTATTTCATAAAGTAATAACTCGGAATTTGCATTTCAACCAAGAAACTCGGTGTCTCGGTCGGGATTCGACCCGAACATCTTTCGAATACAAGTAAGAAGCAGTCCCGCTTGAACAGTTTTCTTCCGTATGAGATCAGACTTTCGTTCGGAAGATATTGAGAGCAGACTGAACTCGGAAAAATTCAGTTTATAATGTTAAATAATATTTCTTATCTAGCAATATGGATGTTAAAATAGGCCTGTACAAGTTCTTTATCTTTTATATTAATTTATATTTGCATGAAACTTGGTCTCTTGCCCTGAGAAAGTAAGCAAGTATTGCTTGAAGAACAGCAAGGGATAAGACAACTTCAGAGATACAGGTCTATAACAAGAGTAGAACATCATATATTTAATGCGTTAGTGTTTTGTACGATGAAACTTTTTAGGAAGTCGATAGTTCGATTTGAGCTTCGTAGAAAACAGGGGTAATATTGGACCGATACGAAACAAAATTGTTTGTTCTATAACTTTTGCTACATTTCACCAAACCAAAAAGGACGAAATAACCCTTATGCATTCTTTGAAATTTACGTCTAACAACAGGATTGACCAGTAATTTAATAGGAAAATCAAATACATGCATAATCCGTAAATATGTTATATTTGTTTTGAAAGAAGACCGGCTGGGTAGATGATCACTAAACCAGAGAAGAAAGAATTTGTGTGTAGGCTTCTTGACGTTACTGAATTTCTGACAAGCCAGAGGAACAAAGGAAGAAGTTTGGGGCTTAAGAGACAGTAGACAGATCACTTTGTGACTTTCAGTGTTACGGGTTAAGATGAATGAAATATTTCATAGTCAGCATGTTATACTGGACTGTGGGAAATCAGCAGGAGACATTTGTATTGTTTTAAAGTAAAAAAGGACTGAGTTAGTAGAGCATTCAAGATAATTTGATTACATATTTTGACAAAATAATCATACAGCAATTAGAAAATATTTATTTTATAAGTAATTCCCTGTTCTTCGAAACATTTGGTCAAACAGTCTCTATGCTTCCAGATTTCATCCGATTAAAATATTTCTACAATCTCTTTATTAAATCCGTCACAACACAACTATATCAAGGTCAGTGCCAATTTTGGCTCTGCTACATATTTCGGCTATCAACAGCCATCATCAGGCAAATACATGGCCAACATACACCACTGAACTGCAGTACTAGTAAGATTGGATACAATAATACAAATTATATTAAAATATTTGGCGTAAAAGTGCAATAAATTAGACTATATAACACGAAAGTTATAGTATAAAAAAGATTAAAGTTCTTCAAATGATGCTTTACACCATCGAGTCAGTCGTTAGTTTTTGTGATTTTGTTGTGTTCCCACGGATAAATTGGAGTATTCTATATTTTATGTATATATAATAAACTGTTTTGGAGGCTTGTGATGTGGATGTAGTAATATTAATGTTAATCTGAAAATGATATGAGTGTGACAGTTTTAAATTTTGTTATAATAAACAATTGATTTTGGTATTGAAGATATAGTGTATTATTTAATTACTATTTAGTCGGTGCCTCATCTTACAAAGTATTGTCCGTTCTGTAGGAAATGTAAACAACGACTGATTTGGTGATGTATGTTAAAAGTCAACGCAAGGGAGGGTGGGGGGAGGAAGGTAGAGATAAGGTGTATGGGGAAGGGGGTATAGCTGTATATTATGTGTTGTATGTATCAATTATTACATCGTATATAGGGTTAAACATTTCAGTAAAATTATCATTCAGTTGTAAGTTTAGTTTGCTGATTTCGTAAATGTGAAAGCTTTCATATATATCCAAGGTTCGGCCTTTCTTGTCGATATATAGAACTTCTAATGTTTTGTCTATCGTACTACTCGTATATTCATGTTTGGTGTCCAATACACTCGTATGTTGAGCAAATTTGGAGCTTTGTCCGTTATTTATATGTCTCGTATATGTTCTCTGAATCTGACCTTAAAGGTACGTCCGGTCTGTATATATGTTGGCCATGTATTTGCCTGATGATGGCTCTTGGTAGCCGAAATATGTAGCAGAGCCAAAATTGGCACTGACCTTGATATAGCTGTGTTGTGACGGATTTAATAAAGAGATTGTGTATTATAACACAACAGGATGCTTGAAATGAAAATTAAAATATTTCACTTGGGCCGTACGCCATTCTTGCACGGATTACCTCCGTCTTTTGAGCTGTACTTTTATGAGTGTTAATTCCTCGGTTATCTAAGATGTCCTTACCAATTTGTTCCTCGACATCAAGACATGTTGACAGTCGACTGTTTCCCAGGCGTATCAACATTCGTCTTCCCTTCTTGAGCCCCCCCCTCCCATTCCTACTCTTTCGTACGGTTCATATAATTATCGTCGTACTAACACGGTCCTCCAAACAGTAATCAAATCGATTGTGAACAGGTAAACGGGTAGGCAAGGTAATCTTGTATCCTTAACCCATCCACTTATTCGGTGATTACCGCACACCGTTACCAAAATGTGGGCATGTGCCATAAGAACACAGCGCTAGCACGTCCCTTAATCAATGGAGAGCGTAATTTTATACTCATTACATATACATTCTTTTGTAAAAGTAAAGTAAAGTTATCCCTCTGCTTAATTAATTAAGCGCCACGCCATGAAGACGCAAGGGGGATGGGGTGTATAGATTCCTGCGTTCTTGACTTCGGCACTAGTTGGAAGTGGACATATTTTCTTCTGTACGAAGGAGAACTTACTGACATTTTTATGCCTGGTTGCACGCCACACATGCTTCTTAGAAGCATTTCTTTCACTCCCTGGGTGTATGTTTGGTGGAGTAGAAGCCAGATTCGATAGTTATGCTTGTTCAACTTTCCTGTTGTGAATAATGCTGCATCATCAGAGGAATATGATACAATAGAACTTATACGACAATAGCTGTTTTACATATTTGATGTATGCTTAGCTACAAACAGACCTCATGTCCAAGTAATACACCCGAAATGACAAAATACACTGTTGTATGTTTTGTTGTTCTGTCTTATCGCGACAGGTTAGTCTTTAAATTTTAAATACCGGCATTATTGTATGTAAATCGTGTATACAAAACAGAAAACCCGTATCGGAAAGTAGTACGTATTCATGTATGATATTTTGGGTTGCGACAAGACACTGTATTATAATGAGGTAGGTGGATATCAGAATTTGAAGGAACATATCGCCTTCATCTTTAAGACTAAATACCTCATTATAAATCTTACCCGCCATGAAAAACTTTAAATCTTACATATGTATGTACATGTCGCCTTTTACCATAAATGTCCCTTCCATTATGGACCCAGAACTTTTCTACACTCCCGTCGGTTCCACTTCCAACCATTCTACGAACATATAATCACGCGATAGCAATCGATAATAGTAATATTTACGTAACACATTGATTCTTCACAACACGGAAGAATGTTCGTCCTTATTAGGACTAATATTTCAGTTGGATACTGACAATCGTGTCGCTTCGCCGTGGTCAATACTGTACCATCGCTCGGCACATTGCAAAACGGACCAAATTCGAACATTTCCCCAACAGCCACAGCGTCATCCTCTAAACAGAATCGAATTACTTTTTCTCACAGTTATCTTGATGAAGGCCCTAATGTTATTAGCTGAAATAAAGCGTAATATTACGGTTTCTATGTGTATGTAGGCCCATTTGCCTACTTATATTTTAGGAACAGCTGCGTAACTGAACTAAGCAACCCATTAAACATCAGACGAAGACTAAAACGACAATGGCTCTCAGACTTAAAAGAACACAGTGTTGAACATGGGTAGCCGTACTCAACAACATAATGCATAGTATACTACATAGGAGAATCATCACTGGATGATCACTCCGCACAAGTGATTTCTTACAACATATTTACTTATTGCTCCCTTGTAGAGTAGATTGTAAATTGCAAGAAATAATAATAATAAAAAAAAATATTTTAGGTGTTTTATATATATGTCTTAAGAGCTAATGTGTCTCAGAATTACTCGTAGAATTACGGGGTTTCTGAACTTTGTCCATCGCTACCTGTCTTCATTGGGCTTATTAAACAATAAACCGATTAACACACACGCACAACCCACCACATTCTTCAGTGCTCTGCGTCCCAAACAGAATAATAGCCTAGTGCCCCTAAGGCCCAGGGATTCTCAAATCGCCTTTGTGATGGGCCGTCATTATATAAACTTTTTAAACTACTGCATTTGAAATCTTGAAGAAATGTGGCAGTGTCTTATTATATTGACATATATGTTGAACATTTTCCATCGTCTCATGTCTAGTTAGAAAGACACAAAGTTTCGGAAGCTGCCTCTGTTTCTGTCACCAGTTAAAAGTACAAAACCTATTCCATCGGATCCGTAAGATGGAAGTAATCTCCATCCCCGACTTGAGGACAGGTATATTGCGGTGCATCTTCATGATATACAGCTCCTATGAAATTTGTTAAAGATAAATCGAATGTAGGTGTACGCATATTTATGTGCCATAAGTAGTGCAATATCAAAATAATTAATTTTGTTCAGTACATTAGAGTATATTTTAAGAAAAAACAGACACTTTAACTTGTAGATTATGAAGAGTTCTGACAGTGGTGTTTGGTTCCGTCCTCAGGTGAAGGGGGAGACATTACTGTATTGGGTGGTTCTGATAATTCAGGTTGTGTCCTTCCGCTCCCAGGTTGCAGAAGAACGCTAAAGCAGCAGCTGATGTGGAATACCCAGCATATGGTGTTACTGGTCCCAATAAGGAAGTTTCTCCAACGGGCGACAGAAGGTTAGCGCAGTCCGCCCAAATGTACCACTACCAGCACCAAAAACAGCAGATCATTGCAATGGAGAGGTATGTAGCCTTTGTCCAGAATTAAGACCTCATTGAAGAGATAAGGGACACAAAAGAAAATTTCGAAATTAAGCAACTGGTGCATAGTGTGTTTTGGTCTATTGAGATATAACGCCTCTTAATTTTGTAGAAAGGCACCGATGTCAAGTACGAGTACATTTGAAGATGGAGACAGCAGAGCACATTGGTATCTATCTATCAAATTACATGGTATCATGATGAAAAATTCTGTTTCCTGGAATATAACTCTGTGTAGTCAGTTGAAAGTCAACTGATGCTTCAGGGATACATGTCATCTCCTGCTTCATGTTGGTTTCTTGCATGACTTACTCTTTGGCTCTGAAGTTGGAGGTGACATGTTCCTCCGAAACTCCAGTTGACTTAATGGACTACACAAAGCTACTTCACAGAAGATAGGACTCTTCAACACTTAATAAGTAGTTGCAAAATTTATTTTATTAGGCACTGAGCGTCAAGGTGGTGGTCGGCAGGCCTCTTTCTTATTCAGAAGGCACTGGCTCCAAATCTTAGTACAGGGACATTTATTCTTACAGAGGTTCTATGCAGTCTTTCTCGGTTCCTTCAATTAAATTCTGGGAAAGTACCTCAACTTACGCCATAGCCACTTCCTTTGACATGCTTTTCAACTCATTATTGAACTGAAAATTCTATTATTTAATGCTATATAATTTGACAGAATTGTTAAATAAACCATAAAGAAGGTTTTGTTGTAACCGTTTAAAATGCAGAACCAATACCTGTCAAATTAACACAGAACTTAGAAGAATTTATTATAGAGATAATATATCAGCCCTCCAATCTTAAAATGTGTGCCTGTGTGCATTCTAAAATAATATTACTTTTTGGACCAGTGTCTGGAACATCAGTTGAAATTTTATCTGCAAGCTGTGAAATGTTTTCTTCATTTGGAGTGCTGGTTATTGAATATCATAGAGGGCCATATGTATGCAAAGTACAAAGTCATGTTCCTGTTATTGGTAAGTTTCACAACATGAAATGACATGAAAGAAAAATGATCAGTAGTAATTAATCATTCTCTCATGGTACTGGGTCTTAGAACATTCTCCTATATGAAGAAAAAATGCTTCAAGTTTGTTCATTGTCCAAAATAATGGCTTTACTTGCAGTAGTTGTAACTCTTCATAGTATTCTGGAGGTACATGGTTCAAATCTCTGCCAGAGTGCAGGCTTCTCAGATTATGGTATTTTCATTTTCTCCAGGAAAATACCTTAGAATAGAACATTATAATTTCGTCATCTTCAGTCCATTATCTCCATTTTTTTTTTGCTGACACATAACCCAGGTTCAAACATCTATATTGAATTAAGCAGTCATACTAAATTTTATTATAGCCATACATTTCTTGGAACGTTTTTCTGGGGACACATTAAAAAACATATGCTATACTAAACTACAGTGATTACCATAACTGTGTGTGAGATCAACGACTTCATATTAAAATTGCCCTAAAATGTAAATGCAATGTGTAATACATTACTTTATAGCATTATATCATGCTCATATCTATTTTTTTAAAATTCTTGTCACCGACAGTCATGATTGATTGGCACTCCTGCTTCAGATTCGGCAGGTTCAGGTTCAGATTTCAGCTGCAGACAGACAGTCCTGACAGGATTTTCTTGGATTTCCCTAGTACGTCAAGAAAAATGCAGGGATGTACCCCAAATTACCTCATGACTCCTTCCTTCCACCTCCTTTTCAGTATCTATTATTGGCCCTAACATTTGACACTATACAATTTGAGCTTTGAAAACATCATTAAATAAATAAAACTTTCCAATTTTAAAATTACCAGAAGGCATTTCATCAGTACAGGACAAATGATAAGTGTGTAGGTCAGTCACACTGAGCAAGTCCCACAGTTAATGACTTGGACCATGTCATAGCACTTCTTAAATTGTCAGAAGTATTAGGATTAGTTATTTATGTAATATCTTCATTCAATTAAGGGTGAGAATTACTTACACGATTCTTTTCAGTCGTGTTACAAATGAACGCAACGGATCTGTGTCTGAGGCAGAGAGTGAGGAGGAAAATGAAGAAGGTGACTATACAGTGTATGAATGCCCTGGATTAGCTTCAGTAAGTACTGCAATATGACTTTTCAATTCTGACTGTACTTTGAATATGTATCTCCAGGGAACATATCAAAATATCCCTATATGATACACTGTGTAACATTGCAATAGTGTATTGGGCTATTCAGTCCTGAAGGCAGATCTTTGTGAAGATTGAGTGAAGTTAAGATTTTATTTGATAATGTGTTGTTGTTGTTGTTGTTGTTTAAATTTGGTTTAGCACTGTTTGAAGTAAGGACACTGGGTACTAATTCCCAATATTGGTTACAGAAGCAATCTGGCAAGAAATGTTTGTGCTGTCCATGCATTCTGATGGCGCACAACAGATTAATTTGCCTTTATATACCTGTTGTATGGTGTAATGAAAGATGCTGTATATAAAGTACGACATGTTGTATAGTTGTTGCTATGCAGAAATGTGAAGTGAAGGTTAAATGAAGTGTTTGTGTACTTTGTAACATCATATCATGCAATCCATGTATGTGTGTGTGATAAGTTTTGTACTGCCTGTCATCCATAAAAATATTTGAAGTAAGACATCCTCCCAGCACATGGTGAGGCAGAAATCGCTGATTCAGGACTGAGGAATAGACTTCTTGACCCCTGTCCTTCACTGGCCAAGGCATTTGCTTCCTCATTACCCCAAATCACACTGTGATTGGGGCCTGCAATAAGTGTAATTATATTCCAACTGGATAGGGCACTCAGTTCAATAATCTTTTATTTCAACCTCAATGCCTTATGTGCATGCTGAGCTGCGCACCTGTGTATGCTTTCCCTACGCATTCCTTTGCACAGGATAAATCTGCAAACATTTCTATCTAGGGCACTGTAACATATACGCTAAGCATAAAGAGTAACATCTCCCTTGGCCTCATCCCACACACACAAACCTGCCCCAGATTTTCCTGGACCCATCTTCTTATAGACTAGTCCTCAGGATAAGAGTCTAATAGGAAAGTATTTTTCCAGTTCATGAGGAATAAGTTTAGCATTTCCTTTTGGCATACGTACATAGTTCACCATTTGCATGTTGCATTTGGCAGCTAATACAGACAATTGAAACAGGTACATAAAAACTAGACTAAAATGTTGATCACTGAAGGACTTTTATATACTAATTTATATGTAATTGTTATTGATTTATCTCCAGCTTCTGAATTTTATTTCCAATATTTGAACACAATGTTAAATATTGTTCCTCTAGACGGGTGAAATGGAAGTGAAGAACCCGCTGTTCCAAGATGATCCAACTCCAGCAACCCCGGCAGTTACACCAGCGCCAGCAGCTGCAGGTTCAGCAGTTTCAGAGCAAGTCAGTAGCAATACTGCTGATGAAAAGAAGTAACCACAGCTTTCAGTTCTTCCCCTCTTCCACAATAGCAGCGTCAGTGTTTTGTTTTGTGTGAATTATGTCTTCATTACACACATAAAAGAGAACTAAACTAAATATATTAAGTTATGTCATACATGTACTGTTTCATTACTTTTACATAAGGGTAAAATATGGTTATGAAGAACCAGAAGTGTAAGCCAAATGGAAGTATTTTAAGGCAAAAAATTTGTTGCATGAAAAGATTACATAAAACAAGTATTTAAATAAAGAAATCTGACAAGCATCTTCCATAACTTAGATGGTGGCATTCTGAAAACTGTTGTTTTAAGTTTTCATAATTGACTTAATTATATATCCTTGCAGGCCAGACTACCTGCAGAACACTGCATAATGATGAAATGAAAAATGATGTTATATCACTGTGAGACATTTATTTCATGCACCTCCTACGTAGGAACTACAGTCAACTGATCTTCATGCCATTCAGGAAAATTTTACTTTCTTTTCGATCACTAAATTGTTATAAATTTAATAACAGTGAAGTAATTATATCGAAATTTGGTCAGTATGCTTTCTTCAAATTGCTGGGTAAGCCTAATTAGATTGAAGGGTCAGTTTAAAGCATACAACATGAAACACAAGAGATATAATATGTGCTAGAGACTAAAGTATAATTATATAAATATAAGACTCTTGGCTTAGAGAATCAGTTCTGGATATTGTCTTAGAGCCCATGATCAATTTTTGTCTAGCAGCTATGCCAGATTTGTATATATTCAAACAGTCAGGTTTATTAACTTGTACTGACAATCTGAAGACATGCAAAAGTGGTCATGATATATTTTCTGTTTCCCTCCGTGGTAATGCGGTTACCTCTATATGTTGACATTTCCACATCTTTGTAATTAAACGCATATAGTTATTATTAAACAACTGCTATGCAATCTGGGAGCCTGATTTGTGTATCAAAACTAATAAAAAACCTTTTATGTGGTGTCTTACATGGATTAAGTTAAATTATTTTCTAGTGTTCATAATTTGACCTTTCTTATGTAAGATACAGATAGGGTGCTGCACAGCTAACGAATTATGTAAGAAATAGAGTCCTTTTCCATAAACTTTTCTTCAAGTTTTCCCTCTTAGGTAGTATTATAACAAAAAATAAAATAATATAATCAAAATATATTGTCTTTCCCTCATTACAACAGTGATGCCTGAATCCCAGTAAACTGTGTACTAATTGTGTGTATCTCTTGTCCTCCAGTGTTCTGTGCCACAACATTGTGTGGCTGCTTTCAGTACAAGGAAACGAGCCTCTGTTGATCATAAGAAAAGTAAACATACCATAATGTTAATTAATTAACTGATCATAAAATGTAAAGAAATATTGTTTATGGCAGGACAGATATCGAGAATGCATTTCATCAGATAATGAGAATTATTGCAGAACAGATAGATTTTGTTTGGTATAATTCCAGTGATAACCTCCACGATTAACTTTTAACATTTTTACTGGCTGTAGGGGTCTCATTTTCGGTTTAAAATTTATCATATATCTCGACAGTTTTAAATTGCTTCCTGTGTAGATGCAACAGATGCAATATCAGTTCTGCTATATGTGATGATTATTTTCTCTAATTATGTCACATCCTCTTCCCCCATATAAATATTATTAGACTAAAGGCGATAGAGAACTGAAAATTTTAAATACTTGATGTGCTATTACATATTAACTTATGGCATTTCCAGTCATATGTAACAATATGTAAATGGACATTTAGACCTAGCTATAATATACTTTGTTCTTTTTTATTCCCTGTGTCAACCAGGAGCAGTGAATTCTCTTATCAACAGCTATTACAGCATCTCTTCAGCAGCCCTATTTTTTATTATGTTTCCGCACCAGTGGTGTTAGTTGTCCTTCAAGTTTTGATGAATATCATAAAGTGTGTCAAGACAAAAGTAAGCTGTTTAGCTCCGCAACACTATTAAAGGACAATTTGAAGTAGTGGAGTATGTGTGGCTAGATAGTACTAGTACATGTATGACCACCTAACAGATGGAGGAATGAAAATAATATTTTGATAAAGTCTTTCTAAATGGTAGGATGTACAATTTCTGCAAAAAGAAATTGTACATTGATTAGTACTCTGGAATAGCATTTTAAACAACTGTAGTAATATATATGTTATATTCTTAAGGAACTAATCAGAATTGTGTGGAAATGTTCAGATTTACAGTCAGACATTTTCTTTCTTTCAGTTTGTAACTGTGATACATCACTTTTTACATAGCACTATGTCAGCAGAAATAAATGTTTCTAGCAGTAAGAACCATAATGTACTACTACTACTACTACTACTACTACTACTACCACCACCACCACCACCACCACCACCACCACTGCAAATGCTACTGCTGCAAATAAAACTTTCATTTTTTCATATTCCATTATAAAATAATGTAGTTATTTGATTTTTTAACCTTCCAGTTTTTTCTCAGACACTGTTGCAGTTTATTATTTCTTCTCAAATACATCATCCAGTTGGTAGTCTTTAAATTAAATTTTCTGCCTTTATCACTTCACATAGGAGAGACATAAAACACGTGTTTGCATTTCCATAAATTCTGTTTTAGTTTAATTAAGCATTGCATTTTAGTTTTTATTTATTTTATATCCATGAACAGTAAGTAGCCCTTTGTGTTACTTCTATGGCTTTCTGACAAGTTCCTATGTGAGACAGGGGAAATCACAACATAAATTGGTGTACATTGTAGTAATCAGCAGTATTATTTAAAATACCTTTCTTGGCATCCCTGTTCTGTTCAATCCAAACACAGTCAATGCAATTGTTGTGTGAAGTAGTCTGACCCAAGCACCCATTTTGCAGGAAATGGTACAGTGGAGGACTGTGCATTTGAAAGGTCAGGAAATGGACTCTTTTTTATAGTAGAAGATTTCAGATATCAGGAGTTAATTATAGAAACCAATAAAAATATTTTAAATTGAAGAAAAAATACATACAACCAATTCTTGTGGGAGAATTCAGCAGGCTGGCAGATAGAATGCTGTGGAGGCATTAATGTTGTTTCAACACCAGGAAGTTTAGTCATGCATTATAAATTTTCACAGAACACTTTTGAAATATTCACACTATTTATTACGTATATCGGGATTTCAGATAGTAGAATCGGAATACGAGTTCCTCCACTGGGATATCAAGCAGGGGAATGCTTTTTGAAATGATGTACATTATTGACACTAAAACTGAGAAGGTCCAACAGGAACCCTGAAATGATAACTAATAGGGCTCTGGTAAAACTGTGACAGGCCCAGCGAGCCAACAGTGGATTTCAATAATACTTTCAAAATGATGGGATGCATGGGGAGGGAAGGTATCTCATATATCAAACATAAATCCTCATACTTATGTTTGATATGTGTGATATCTTTGTTTCTCACACATATACTACATAGATATATTTAAAATCATTAATGCATGCATAAAACAGAATAATTACTGTGGTAACAGAACATCCGTTAGTTACATCTTTGAAAACAGTTTTATAATCTGTAAGTTTAATTCAGGCTAAATTAAGTAATGATATGACATTACACTATTTAAATTATAAGGATTTCCATATTGCAGATAAATTGTATTTGCATATGGAACATTCAGCCTAAAGTTAAAAATGAAAACAACTATTAAATCTTACATATCAAAAGTAACTCTGTGCTCCTTCTTAATAACAGTGACAGAGATAATAAAAATTTCAGAATTTCACATAGTGGTTAATTATGGCCTATGTTATAACTCTTTTCCATGCACGAAAAACTTTTGATTTTTTAATAAAAAATACCATCCTTCTAAGTTCTTGGGCAGTTAATAATTTTCACTGTTTTAGCTAATCTATAATTGAAAGAAGCTCAGCAACTGTAGATTCATTTTCAAGAATCTTCTAATCATGATTAAGAGAATGGTCCTATATCCTTAAATCAGTTAGTCTGATACAATCAGTGCTGCTGCTGCTGCTGCTGCTGGAGATCAAGAACCCTTTTTCCAGCCCTGGGAAAGAGTAATTTCTGTGAAGTTTGTATATATATATGAGAATCAGTAAATAACTTCACAAAAGCTTTTATGTTGTAAATATTGATAGTGTATTGTAAGCTGTCTAATACTATCTCAAAGGCAGCGATATCCATATGATAACAAATTTTACACTTGATGTACAATGAAACTTTCTGCAGCTCCCAGTGAAAGTAAAGCAATTTAATTTTATTTCATAATGCATGTACCCAAACCCTTATCAGACATCAATAATAGTGTGATCATTTTGGGAATAGTCTAGCAAGAGTTATGTAAAATTGGTGATATGGATGCAGTTTTTAAGGGCTTGCCAATCTCAGTGTTATTGAAAAACATCTATTTTGAAACGTGAAAGTTATATTGTAAACCTGTTAACAAACTTATTTAAAAAAGAAATAAAAAAAATTAAGCTCTTAAAAATCTAAAATTTATTATATACTTTAAATAAATTGTCAAAATTCAGCAGTTCCATTAAAATAATAATAAACTATACCATTTACAAAGACATTAACAATCATGATAAACATTAATTGTGGCTGGCTGAAATGATAAATAATGTACAAGAACAGTGATACTAATTGATTTCAACACGATCCTTATTTATTTTCATAGTAACATATCGAAACATGCTCTCTTTCCAACCCAAGACTTCTGTTTTAATTCATATTTTGTACAGCTGTTTCAGCTGGTTAGTTGTACGAGAAAGCACTGGGATATATCTGGCAGTGTTTATAGAATCAGAAGATAAAAGAAATCACATAGTGTAGATTCCTTATTTAATAATCCTTATTGTTTATTTTTCTTTTTTGAAGCATTACCTGATTCTTAAATCTATTAGAAATTGAAGATAGAAAGGGGAAGGTTTCAATTACTTGGAGCTGAGACAGGAATCAGTGCTGCTTTGTGCTAATGTCCTGAAATATCAATTCCAGACATTTCAGATGGAATCTTACAGTAGTGAATCACAAAGACCGCTATTAAAATAGCTACAAATGACACAACTATAAAATTAGTGCAGGTTTTTATTCAACATATCGCAATGGTTGAAACAGCATAAAGAATCTGAAATAATAAGTAAGAATGGTGTCACTAGCACTTCTACTTCGCAGTAATATTTTTCTTTGCAAAGAGAACTGTGTGATGGTCAAGAGGAGAGACTGTGTTTCAATTTACTACTCTCTGAATGGTGAAATGCAAGCCAAGTAAAATAATCCTTCAACTAAATATCAGGTGAATTGTCTTCTGTATGTAAGTATGTACTAAATTGCATATAATACATTATGTAAATATATACAGTGATTTCTCATTATGACATACACCACTTTCATTTTTATAATGTAGTTTTGTCAGTTCCACCAATCTGTTATTTAAAGTAGTAATTTTAACTCTTTACCACACCATTCCGCTCACCAGATCTTCATGCTATCACACTAGTTAAATTTAATACTTTATACATCATAATTTTGGACGTTGTTTTAGAAAATGATATGTGAGATCACTGCATTAAGTGAAAGGTACAGTTATAAGAATTCAGGTGATTCATATAATTTGAAAAAGTTTATAATCAGTAATACAAAACAGTTTGCTAGTCCCTAGAAATTATAATAGATGATCAGTGAAGATTCAGACAGATGAGAGTTTCAGATATTTTTTGTGTAAATTATACAGTGTTCAAAAATAAAGAGCACTAACTCAACAGAAGAAGTTGAGGGCATAAAAGAAACTGTAACTGATGTTGATCAATTGATTAAATGCCATTATCTTAATGAATTCTAATAAGAGAAAGTGTCTGATAATTAAAAAAAAAAGTAAGAAGTGTGATGAGGTACAAAACATAGAGACATATGAAATATGCATTTTGATATATGGTATTTCATGCACAGATTACACTCCTTTCGTTCCAACTTGCATCACTGAAATAGCAGTTTCAGCACATGGTGCATACACTTATGTAAAGGAAAAGAAACCAAGATGAGTAGGCATACATTGTAATGAGTCTGACCTGCACTGTGGAGAGGATTGTCTGTCTGTTGGTTGTAAATAATTTTATATTTACTAAAGCTGGGTATACTGGAGCAGAAATGTTAGAATTGATTAAGACTCATCTGGTATGTCTTCACCATGGATAATCTCTTTGATAGGTATGAATGCCCTTGGACAATGATACAACAGTTAAATACAAGAGATTTCCCAAATTTAATGACATTTCTCGTACAATTATTCACTGATTTGAGATTCATGACTTATAACAAATTAAAAAAATTGTTAATTCCCCAGTTTTTTTAATATGCACTTACTGAGCTGACAGTAGCCTAGATGGCTTCAAACAGCAGGAAATGCAAGAAACCTTATTTACTATGCATTCCAGTCCATTTACATATTCTTAATGCTCCATGATGTTACATTTATGACTTCTTCAAATTGTTCTATTTCACATATTTTTTTAACAGATAGACATATCTGAAAATACAAGTTAACAGTATAAATACATTTGCTGTTGTTTAATTATTAGTATTAGAAGGAATCATCAAATTTTATTACAAAAATATCTATGAGACAAGTATGAGAAATATTGTTTGTTACAAGTTATTAAAAATAAGTTTTATGTGTAATATACACATTTAAAAGACTGCTCTTATTTGCAAATGGAAGAAAACAAAATGGATGAACAGTATACTCCAAAATAACTTGCAAAATTCAGGCACAAGCAGTACTGGTTCTTGTCAGTCACAAGGATGATATTCAGATCATACTGCGATTCGAGAATTGAATTCATCATTGTCCTGATCGCTGCTGTAAGAATAATGAAAATTGATATAGCTACATGTACCTTTAAGTGGTATTATGAAAGTAATTTCATATGCAGAACATACATTTACATAGCATGGTGATGTACAGTAAATGATTTTGTTGTACCATCAATCTAACAGAAGGTAGTGTAAAGTGTCTGCTTCATATGTATTTTAGCTTGTAATATATGTCACACTTATCTTCGAAAATACTGTCTGTACAAGTTTCTGTACTATAATGTTATGAAAAGTGTACACTATATTTACTGATATGGAATGGCTTATATTCAGTCTGCCACAGTAACATAAATTGAAATATTTCTGAAAGTGCTTTCTCAAATTATATATTTATTTCAGTTATAAATGTTATAGAGAGATGGGCCAGCTTAGGCTACACTTATATATAAAATGTTTATATTTTGGGATTCATGTTTGTTGGTGTTAAGTGAAGATCTTGTCCCTGTTTATCTGTAGTAGAACTAGTAAAAGTTGGATATAATTCTTATTTTTACAGCAAAACGATCTGCCAGTAAAAGCATGCGATGGTTGACAAAAGCAGACACTGCACTATAAGAACTGGGTATACCATGAAAAAATTTTAATACATTCTAAGTTGGCCTGGTCTCCCAAATGGACTGATGTCAGGTGAATGGCACCTGAATGAATTAGTTAGTTAGGATACAGCTTATATGTATGGTGTTGTCAAAGGGTTGTACACAATAAAACCATGGTTGGTAATTTAACTTATCTTTTTGTTTACGGAAATTTATGTCTTAAAGACATGTACATTAGGAATGCATACTATAAACTGTATTCAGTTTAGGGCATAATTTACAGATTATCATAGTAAGAAAATAAGCTTTCAACTAACGTACACAGATCCCTGAACATTACATATTTTCTTGTCTTGGCAAATGAATACAATTTGGCAATGTATTGTACTAGTAGATATTTTTTAAATGTGATGTACTGAGTCCTGACTTGATAAACATCCTGCCTATTTCTAGCATCTATGAAAGGCATCTGTCTAGTGAACTATGAAAAATTACTGCTCCAGAAAGCCACAGAACTGTATGAATATTGAAATTTACTCTGGCAGTAGCCCTGACACATTCATGAATACTAATTCTGATTTTTTATCCTTTCAAGACTGAGAGTGACAACAAAATTTAATTTGTAGAAAATAAGAACTTGTGATATTAGGTTCTGCTTTTAAAGATGTTGCAAACTAATATATTACTATATTCCTACCCTAAACCTCTTATTAATTTAAGTGCATTCATAACCATGCATGGCAAATATTAAATTCTCTAAATCTATTAATCTGTTTGTATGTATGAAACAACTGTAGAATTTCTTAATGGTTTTTCATGAAATTTGATAGTGGAGTGTTTAAGTAACATTTGTCAGATCTTTTAATCTTGGTTTAAAACTGGAAAAGAGTAACAGACATTTTACATGAAAACCTATATGTATTTGTTTACATATCTTGGGCATAAATGGTTATATATTTATCAGACCAAAGAATGTTTCAAACATATGTTGGAGAGAAAAGTGGTGGACATATCCTGTGCCCAATACACTTTTTATGTAAATTGTGCAATTCTTGAGGTAGTTAAAGAAAGGGAAAACTATTTGTACATTTTCAAACCTGTGTATTCAAAATCAGCAGGGTTTCCTAATAAACTTGAAGATTAATGAAGTACCCTATTCTCAATAAGAAAATGATACTTTCTCCCATCTGAATTTATAGGTCCACATGAATTTAAATACAGATGCAATTAAAATATAACTGATTGTGCTGTTAACATCAGTTGTAGTAGTTGTATGAACTGCACTGAAATCAGATTTCTATTCTAATGTATGTGGCCTATTACAGTATGATTTTGATGCATATATTAAACAATTTATGATATATATTTAATTTTCTTTTCAGGTATTTATTAATAATAATGAAGAATGAAGCCTTGATTTTAATTGTTTATTCATTCAATAAAGCTTGTGTAGTTTTAACATCTCACCAATTTAAAAAATTATCAACTAACAGTGAATAGCTGCATGGGAATTTAATGTTTTCTTATTATAAGAGAAGAGTTCATTTTTTTCTTAATTATTCTTTTTATCTAAAATAAGGCACCTACAGAATTGAATATCACACCCTTTCTCATGTCAGCAACATATTCTTTTCAAATCAGAAACAGGAAGATTATGTACATAACCATATTATTTATGATACCTTCTGCAGAATGCATCTGTTAAGTATATTCTGCATACTTCTACAGTCTTGTTTTGAAAACCAAATACCACATTTCTGTCTATGGTTTACTGACAGACAGTTTAATTCTAAATTGAATAAACAATATTTGTAAATACATACAATGATAAGCTTTTACCATTGGTGGATAATGATGGAGGCATTAAAAATATCTCACTTTTATGCGTAATAAAGTAGACCTAGGCAGCAAATCAGCACGGAACTGAACACTTACTTTTAACACTATACGCATCAACTACAAATTTTATTTTTAAACAAAGCTGTAAAATGTGGGGAAAGAAAACCATAGTGATATTTTAAAAGGGAAAATATTTGCAATATAAGAGTAGCCATCCCACTTATAAGTGAATTGCTGAACATGGAATATTTACAGATTTGTTTATAGAACTATTCTCACTGAGTCACTTGTTTTCTCTTTTGGCTATTTTTAAGAAAATGACATTTTTGTGATTACTGTGGTGCAAATATTATCGTTTCACTGCCTTTAATGAATATAAATTTTGGATTTAAATTTAACATTTCTTTTTCTGGATCTCTGAAATTAGGTATAGTTTTCCAGTAGGTTAAATTTGCACATTAATTTTCTGCACTTTACTCTTTGGATCCATTTTGGGATCAGGCCGTTTCCAAATCACTGATGTAATTTTATGCTCTCTGTCAACAGGATCAGAGACAAATTCTACCATTATTCAAGATCTCAGGATTGTATTAACATTAAGATGGTAAATAATATACCAGTAGTGTAATATAAAGTAGTTATTTTATTGACCTACAATTGTAGAAAATATTTTAATTTATGAAGGATACATACTGTATTTGTAGATATTACATTTGTGACCAAAAAAGAAATGTATTAAATGAATAACTATTAGTCAGTGAATTTGAGCCTTGCATCTATGAATTTATGATTTGTTCATATAAATATTAAAAATAAACTTAGCAATTTCAAAACTTTAAGTACCACCTGTTGTAATAGAGCACTGTCTCCACCTATTATATATGAGACCTACATCATGTCTTAAGAGAAGCTCTCTTTCTTCCACCTTATAAAAGAGGCTGATTATTTCAAACTAATGCAGATCAACCACGCAACGTGAATAAATATATTAATGTAAAAGGTAAATGGTGAAATAATAACCAGTCTATTTTGTGATAGAAGAGAAAGAAAAGTTATTAACTACATCCCCACACATGATGCTGATACAGGTATATCATCAGTAGTGTGAGCTATAGTCATGTTCTATGTGCAGAGACTCATTACAGAAAGAAGATAATTGCTATTTTAATACTGGAAATAACATTTATGTCATTGCTTGAGTATTGTGTTTCGATTGTTTATCATATCTTACATCATGAGGAATGATTATCTGGTAGAACATAAATATCCAAAATACAGGAAGTACTAAAGTTATGAGCAGCCTGTTTAGGAACAATTCCTTCAGACTGACTATGTTACTTTGTAATTGATATAATGATACAGTTAAGAAAGGAATTAATTACCTAACTGATGTATGGAAGATACTTTATCCCTCTAAGAAACAAAATTAAGTGCTGTACTCACCATATAATATCTTAATTGTGAGGATTGATAAGAAAAAATTATAGTAAAGCAAAGTGGTAAGGCACAGATGACACAAAATAATGAAGGAAATTACATTCATCTTTAGTACATACATGCCGTTATTCTAGAGTAGCAGTTGGAAGAGTTGTTTCTCAATTCGGCACCAGTTTAATATGTCCTGCACACTGGGAACATACTCCAGTCAGGGTCCCCCCACCCCCAATATATCCAGTCATAGATTGTAACCAGCTGTAACAAAGAAATAAGATTCACGATTATGCAGTTCTGTTTCATGTGCTAAAATCAAATGGAAAAAGTAATGAATAAAGCGCTGATCTTACTCGCTGAAACTATTTCAATCTCTTTATTATAACATGAAACAACAATTTTAAAAGAATACAGAAATACATACATATATGCATACATACATACATATGCAGTACTACTTATGAAAAGTGTGGTGTTATTATTTAATGTAATTTTTGTTAAAACATTGCAACCTTATATTTTCTGTCATTTGAAAGAAGTAAATGCCTGATGAATATCATTTGCTTCTTCTTCTGTATCATTCTTTTCCTTCTGTCCAGAATGTGAGTACATGGAGCTGAAGATACTTTCACACTTGATGTGATTTGGTACCAAAATTGTGTCACCAGTTGTTTCAGGCTACTACTGTAGATGTGAATGTCTGCCACTCCTGAGAACTCACTTTGAATTCAGTTTACAACATGATGTTACTCTGGTAATGACTTCCTGCTGAGATCCCTATGTGAATAATTTAATTTCAAAATGTGACTATTACTTAGAGGATAACTTTTTAATTGTATTTGTGACTCTGTAGAGTGCTTATTAAATTCACTCTGTCCATCTACCTGCATAAATGCAACAATTCGAGAACTGACAGATGGAATTTTGTGACATTTGATAACTGAGACTTTAAATAAAATTTGTCATAATGTTACAATTTTAATTAAAATCTGACAAAAGTAACATAAATTCTACATGAGGATCTATGCTCATTTACGTATGTATATTTCCCAAACATTACTGATTAAACAATTGTCAGAGTGAAGAATGTATGAAAAAATGTTGTAGAAAATGTGCACACAAAGAAGTTACACATCCCCAAAATATTCAGTCCATCACTACAAGCCTAAAGATTGCCATATACTCAAGCAGAATGCACAGAACAGCAATATGCAGTGTGCCTTGTGGTCATTATTCACAGTTCTTCAATATATAGATGATATGGAACTAACAAAAAGAAGCTATATTGTAGTTGCAGACAGATGTGTGTCCCACATTACAAAAATCTAATAAAAATCGACACAGCCAACACTAGAAACCATTTCGAAGGCTGACATAGTGTCCATCTTTTGTTGAGTCAACATTAATTTATAACTCGTTTTAACAGGTTTCAACTACTGAATTTTAATATCCACAACTATCACAAGTCCTAATGATTTTAAGGTAATGATTTATGTTCAGTAACAACGTGTGTAGAGTGTAATATTGGTTTGCCTCTTGATGATGACCACTAGTGGCCGAAATGTGTAAGTAAAATAAGTACATATTTAATTATTAAATTAGTAATACTTGATAGCATTCCACTTTGTGTGTGTGTGTTTCTGAATCTTTCTTCACTTTGCATAAGAAGTTTCATACAGAAGGATGTTGATCGTAGTTTTGCTGTCTGCACCACTGAAAGCCATACAGAATCTTAAGCTACACATTTACTGTTACAGACATCTGATAAGGTGATTTTATTTAGCTATTTTTAGAAATAACATTTTGTCAGATCATCAAGTGACAAGCAAATAAATTTAAAGATTTTATAACAAATATGATAGACAAGTAAGTTTCATTCTTCAAAATGTACCATTATTAGTCATTGTTAGCTCAAATATTAGTTTTTTGCTACATCTTCACCAGTTATTGTGAAAAAAAATTCCTTGCTTTCTAACCAGTCAAGTGACAGGTCAGAGATAAAGCCCTCAATTTGAAGATAAAGGATGTGATAATGTGGTGCCTGGTCAGGATGCAGTCAAATGCCAGTTTAATACTTTATGTTTTTATTTGCATTAGTCCTCCTACTTTGTTATGAAGTCTCTGCAGTTTGGAATAACTTTGGACTAAAATGGCCATAATGGCAGCACATCAATTTAAAAATATATATACAATACAACCCATGCTTTTGAAATATTGAACCAGTTACCAAACAAAATTCATCGCATTTGGATAGATTTGAGGTTCCCACAGCAGTGTTTATGAATACTTCTTCATAATGTGTTTATATTAACAGTCTTGAAGTGCATACAATCCCATTTACCACTTCTACACTACATGTTTTGGCAGTATGCTGCCATCTTCAGGTGTATCGATCTGTTAACCATTTCACTGCTTGCCTTTATATGTCCATTTACAAATAATATTAAATTTGTATACGTCCTTATATAATAATAAAGTTTATGAAGTTTATGTATTTAAAACTTGTTAAAACCTATTATCTCATACGTCATATTTTTAAAATTCGTGAACGACCCCCATGTGGATGATTAATAATACACACGAATTTTAAAAATATGACATATGAGATAATAGGTTTTAACAAGTTTTAAATACATAAATTTTATATTATATAAGGAGGTATACAAATTTAATATATTTGTAAATGGACATATAAAGGCAAGCAGTGAAATGGTTAACAGATCGATACACCTGAAGATGGCAGCATACTGCCAAAACATGTAGTGTAGAAGTGGTAGATGGGTTTGTATGCACTTCAAGACTGTTAATATATACACATTATGAATATGAATCAGTGCAACAGGCTGCTAAAATACAACATGGAAAACTTCTTCATTTTTCTGGGGTATAACATGGCGTAGTCCAGCAAAAGCCAACAGACATTTCAGAGGAATATTCATTGACTTTCACTAGGCTATACAGTGTTAGATTCTAGAAGACATAACCCTTCTTTCCTCATTTCTCATGCCCTGTACATAAATATAATGGTTGCAGGTCAACAGATTATCTACCTGAATAAACCTACAATTGTCTGACTAACAAAACTCTAGTCTTGGGTCCCAGACAGACCGACCATCGATCTTAATGTAACTTTGTCTTTGACTCTGAGATTATCTGCAGTTGCATGAAAACTTTTCTCTTTGCAATTAAAACATGAGCACGAACGCCAAGAATAGTATTTTGGTGGATCTTATTACAGTCGAGCTATCGCCGCCGTACCAGGGCCATCGAAAATAAGGTACTTGTTCAAAGATGGCAGGAGTATAACTCATTCTGGTATCATAGTTTTAAACCCGCCGTCACAGTCGTCACAGCAAGGTCACAGACTGTCGGGCAGTGACAAGAGTAGGAAGTAGACCAGAAGAATTGTAGCTTATTTAAGTTATCGTTGGTTGTAGCATTAGCGATGATCATATAGTCAGATTACGGAAGGAGGGAAACTCGTTTTCTTATTTCTTGGACGGTCATTAATTAGGTACATTAATGTGACGGTGTTGTTTTGTGATAGAAGATATTTACTCATACATGTTGGATATATGCGAATTCCCAGAAAGTGAGTACTTATTTTTTGTTTATAATATCGTGAACTTAGGTCTATGTGATTATCAACAGCTTCGTGTCAGTTTTCGTAATGGGACGCATGTCAGTTTAAGTACCATATAAGAATTAGTTAACACTAGCTTTTAAAGGAATGTAATGATGCCAAATGAGCAGAATCACGAAATAGGAACGGAAAATTTTCCTCTTACAGTCTGTTCTAACCTAACTTCTTGTCATGTAATTTGTTATTGAACTCACTGTGTCTTGAAGGTGCTGAATAGCATACACGAAAGTTCTGGTAATTAACATATATTGTCAGTATTTCATTTTACAGCATTACATTAGATACACTTCTGACAACAAGAAACCACAAAAACTAATTTTCATCTTGTATCTGCTAACTGCTATCATATTTGTTACTGGCAACTGTGTGTGTGTGTGTGTGTGTAACAATTTCTCCCGCGTAATTTACAAAAAACTACTCAAAGAAACTGTATATGACCAATGCCCACATGAATAATTGTTACTTATAAGTAGTTTTTTGGTTTTAGTTTCACTGCACCCATAACCCGTTATGTTTGGCGCAGCTATAGATATTTATTCTGTTGAGAAATTTGTGACAACATTCTTGTTTTGTTCATGGCGGTCACTGGATGAAATTCTGAGACACTGGGGTTGAGTCCACCGGAGTTACTTCCATTGACCATTTGGAATAGGAGTTTGCAATACAATAATTTTCAGACCTCCCTTTGCAACAGCACCTTATCTTCAGTAAGTGGAGGGTCATGACTTATATTCTTAATTTCCTTGCTGATGCTTAGTGAACACCCATAAGAATTCATTGACTCCATAATGAAGCCATCAAGAAGCAGCTGTTCTTCAGATACAATGTACTAGAGCATGGCATTTGTCCCATATATTAAGGGCATCTCCAGGAAATTCAGATGCGTTGGAAACCTGTTCAAAACTAACCATACACTCCATGGGATGTGGATGAAAACTGGACCTGGTAGAGATGCCCAGCAGATAAAGCAGTGTGCATACAGCATCCCATGTGATTGTGGCAGATGTTACATAAGTGAAACAAGTAGACCTATAGAAGTACGCATGGAGGAGCACAACTACTAGTAGAACCTGACCCAAGGTCTGCTTGGAAAATCAAAATTAGCCCAACATGCATATGAAGAAGGCCACAAAATATGTAGGAAAGAAGTAAATGTCTTGCATATTGAAGCGAACATTACCTACAGGAAATACAAGGAATCCATCCACGTCTCTGAAAGATCATCTGATCAGTCAGCCCAGCTTGGACATCCCTCCCATATGGACTTCCATCACTGCAGCAGAAGTCAGCAAATCTGCATCTCCACCAAGTGTAGATTAAACATGAAAATGGTGTTTCTACGTGTATGTTGGTACCATGCAAAGAATTTGTCTCTAGAATCAGTGGTAAAGGAAAATGTTGACAAGGAATCTTATTTGTTATGTGCTCTCTGATTCCAGAGAAAGCCACATCTTGTTAGAAACAAAGGACTTCTCGCTTATTAATGATGTATTACATAAATTACATTCATGCTATGGTCGACAGTTTGTTGCTGTGATAACCTGAAATTGTGTAATTTCAGAGCTTCACTCACTGTTAAAAAGGTAAAGTTTGTGTACTTAATTAAGCACTATGCCATGAAGACACATGGGGAGTGGAGGTATAGTTCCACCATTCTTGATCTCAGCACAAGATGAAGGTGAGTAGTCAGCTTCACGCCTCTACTGCTTTACCCCCAGGGAAATTGCTTTTGGTACCCATTGGATAGGAGGCAGGTTGGGCCCCAAAGCCAGTCTGGATGCTTTGAAGAAGAGAAAATTCTTACACTGCGGGGTATCGAACCCAGGCCGTCCAGCCCGTCGCCTGTCTCTATACCAACTGAGCTATTCCGACTCCTTTCACTCACTGTTAACAAAAATGTTTTTTTTTCTTTTGTTTAGAGAGTGAAATGAGAGACTTTTTGCCTTTTTTTTCACAATTAGTATTTGAACTTTGTAACAAAGGCAGTAACTACGGTGAATGAATATCAGCATTTTTTTATTTTAAATAACGCGCTTTGAAATAATAATTAGTTTGTTGACATCGCATGATGACCTTAATGCCAAGAGTTTGTAGATAATAAGTCATTTGTTTTATCTTACATGAGCAAATGTTCATATTCGGTCAGTGCCTTTAAATTTAAACTAAACGAAAACCTTATCATAAATGAGAGTTGAAACCGTATCAGCCCCCCGCTCCACCCAAAATACTGCGTTTTTAATGTGTGTAAAATTAAGGATTGGAATGTTTGTAGGATTTAACACTGACATAAGATTGTTTCCTTGCCTCTAAATTGATATTATTTCATAAATGTGTGACGAAAGAACAGTTTTCAGATTGTAGGATTTGAAGTTCTCACAGTGTTGATTATGAAGAGTTTTATATTCTGGGATGTAATACCATAAACTCCACTGGAAGTCAGCTAGCGTTTCGGAGGAACATGTCGCCTCCATCTTTAGGGTCACAGAATAAGTGAAGCATGAAAGCAGATGGCTGCTTTCATGCTGGTTTTTTGCTTAGTTTATTCTTCGACTCTGAAGTTGGAGGCGACATGTTCCTCCGAAACATAGGTTGACTTCTTCAGCGGACTGCGCGACATTATATTCCAGGAGCTAGCACTCTTCAGTTTTCAGATTCATCGATGAAACTGAAAATCGTATATTTTCCCATAATTACGCAGACATGGTTATTAATTTGTGGAAGTTAAAAATATGACGTTCTCACGGCTGTCGTAATGATGAGTTCTGTCTTCAGGGATATAACGTCATGTAGTCTGTTGAAAATCAACCGACGTTTCGGAGGAACATATCACCTCCTTCAGGGTCGAATTATAAGCCAAGGTATAAGCCAGCGTGAATCAGGTAACAAGCAACTGGAGGCGACTTGTTCCTCCAAAACGTGGATTGACTTCCAACGGACTGCACGGTGTTATATCCCAGAAGATTGAACTCTTCAATTAAAAAATAATTCCTTCTCATTTCACGTTACATTATTCATGTAATTTATGGAAGTTAAATAATTCTTCCTCTCCTCCCATACTGTATTTCACAATTTTTTCTCCCCTTTTGATTTTATATTTAGTTTGATGGTGAAGTGGAAGGTTATCTCTCACCCTAGGGAAGAACGTGGACTGAGGGTGATACAGAGTTCGAAAGAAAATATTTGGGTGTGACAGAGTGCAAATAAAAGGGGATTATACTACTCCATGAATAGCGTATTGTTAGGGTTACCAAATCAAGAAGGGTGATATGGGTGCGTACTTGTAGTACGAATGACAGATATTAAATGTATGGTACAGAACGTTAGTTGAAAATCCAGAAGGAAGATACCAGTTGGGTGACGTAGGCTTAGATGGAAGGGTAATATAAAAATTGGTCTTAAAAAGAAGTGAGGTCTGGATCCACCTAGTTAAGGATAGGTCCATTGGCAGGCTGTTTTGAAGTCCAGAGTTTATAAAAGACTGAAAAATTTTAGAGCGGTTAGCAGGTTCTCAAGGACTCGCTCCTTGGCGTTTCTCGAATGCGGGGATCGTGCTAGCTTCTTATGTTCTCTTGTCTTTATACACCCACTCCATATTCCAAAATTCCCTTTCGGTTATGAAGGCTGCTATCTTCTGTAATGTGGCGACTTGTGGTCACGTATACGGACATTCTCTGAAACCTTGGTGAACTTGTATCAGACTATACGGCGTCAAATCCCTGAAGACAGTATTCTTCATAGTCATCCGTGATAAACCGAAATCGGACAGCCGTCTGCCTGCTGCCGTTTCCAGCCGGCTTTACAGTCCTGAAAGTCCCAGTCGTTGTATAGAAGCGAAGAAAACAAACTAGAAAATGGTTGAGTGAATTCATGTGATGGATTGCCCCCTCCCAGCGTCTTGATGCTGAAGTTTTCTGACGACTGTTTTGCTCCAGCGTCGCACATTATCAGGTTCATGATAGCTTCGGCTCATTTATATATAGGAATTAGGTTAACCGTTAAAACAACAAAATATACTTGCTTTTAAATGTTTTTACAATTCGATCTTTATTCCTGCTACATGTTTCGGTCGTATAAGACCATCATCAGGCAGTTATATATACGGATACGTAGTTATTGAACTAGCGATATGGATCCGCACCAGTGCAACGCGTCGTATCATGTTCTAACATAAAATGTTTGCCTCAAGTTGGTGTTTACAATTAAGTAGAAGATACAAAATAAGGTAAAAGTAAAACAAAAAAGTAAGTAAAGGTATCCCTGTAACAGGCCATGGAGGCCCATAGGGTTGTGAGATGTTGAGGTTCCCACATTTTCTAGACAATCGGCTCATAGATGGCAAGGTTGTCTGCCCTACGCGCCGGCCGCCCTTTACCCCTAGGAATATTCCAAAAATATTCCTGGTACTCATTTCTATTAGAGGCTGAGTCGACCACAGGGCCGTAATACGGCTGAAAGGATTAGGTCAAATGAAAATAATCCAATCATTGGGACTTGAGCCCGCGACCTTCCGGCTTGTAACATAGCGCCTCAACCAACTACGCTATCGCGTGCGCTCTAGATAAAAGATAAAATATAAAAAGTATACCATCTCTCAAGATATATAATGTGTTGAATATATTATGGATATATCGGCTCATTTAGTTAATTAACCCGGGTTTTTAAGTTTCAGGCATTTATTTTTGTAAAAATGGCAGTCACAGTCAGTGAAAAGCTGTAATAAAAGAGAGTGAGTTACTTTCTTACGGGACGGCGGTTCGCCGTCCATAATGTGAGCACACGTCATAATAATGGCGGGGCAAACAGAGCGTTGGATTACTTCATGCTTGTCTTTCAGGTGTGCCCTATAATTGACGTGTAGCTGAAAGCGATATTCATTACAGGTTTCATGTCGCCAGGTCCTCAGATGTACTAGTGTTTCATGTTATTATGCAATTGTATATTTTCCCCAT